GGAGGTTGTTCAATCTACGTCAGGTACTCTTTTATGATTCAAAATTTACACTTGTGGCAGGCACATTTGGTCATACCATAATATTTATGAATTATAAAACTGTATATCGTGCAGTGACAAACCCGGGCACCACGATTTCCTCGTTTTGAAGAAACTTGTACTCCCCGATGGTTCCACACTGAGGGCAAAACTTCCCGGGAGACCAACTGGAGATTGTTTGTTTTCTGATCCTACTAGAGATGGAAAAAGGTATGACATAGAAAGATCTTAAGCATTCTCTAAACTCTCTTGTAACAACTTATAACAACTTATGGACTTCGTTGCAATGGACAGTATTAAGTTCATTATACTGAGCATTTTTGGCTGTCTTATAACAACTTATGGACTTCGTTGCAGTCTTCTGAAAATTTGGAATATGAATGACTTCACCGGAATTCTTGGGATGTTTAATTGCCAAGGAGCTGCATGGTGTTGAGTTAGTACGAAGAATCTCGTCCACAACGAACAGGCAGGCGTAGTGTCCTGCACCATCCANNNNCAGGCGTAGTGTCCTGCACCATCCAAGCTAAGGATGTTCATTATTTGACCAACATTGCTGAGCATGGATGGACTGGAGATACTATTGTGTATTCGCATAGAGGTGGTAAGTTTTGTTTGCTCAACACTTAATACTGATATTGTAACAACCACGGACTTTCCCCATCTTGCCCTTTTTCATTCGTTTGGCTCAGGGGTTATTCGTGCATTTTACTTATCAGTACAGCCCTCTAGGGGTTGGGCCCCAACGTGGATTTATTCTCGTCCTTAGAGAATTGAACACAAGACCTCTCTGATGCAACTTGCGCAATTTGGTCCACTGAGTTCTTGTTGATACCAATTGCAGGGAATGTGCTTTATCTTCCAAAGAACAAATCCCTACTGATTCAACTTCAAGCTCGAGAATATGAAGTCCTCACAGTTGTTCCAATCAAAAGGTTATCTAATGTGGCTGCTTTTGCTCCAATAGGTCTCCTCAAGATGTACAGTTATGGCGAAGCAATTACAGAACTAAACTATGGATCCCCGGAAACTGGAATTATTAACATTAAGGTTCGCGGTTGTGGCGTGTTTGGGGCCTATTCATCAGTCAGATCTGAAAGAATATTGATTGATATGAAAGAAGAGAAGTTTGATTATGAAGAAAAGTCTGGTTTGATCAACCTGAATTTAAAGGTTCCAGAGAAAGAATTGTACCAATGGAACTTGACAGTTGGGCTTTGAAGAAATTTTATGCATCTACTTTCTAAGCAAGTTAATGGCCTGCTCGAATTCTTGCACTAGTGAAACCTCGAGCATATTTGTTATGCAGCACTAGAATGCACTGGAATCATAGTTTTATCATATTTTTTTTTCAGTGTCCAATGTTATCTAATGTGATGGTGATGCATGGATTAACAAGTAGATACAAAATATCAGTGTTCGGGCAAAATGTTTCGCTTCATGTCTTGATGCTTTTNATGTGATGGTGATGCATGGATTAACAAGTAGATACAAAATATCAGTGTTCGGGCAAAATGTCTCGCTTCATGTCTTGATGCTTTTTTTTTCTTCAATTCCTATTCGGCTGAATTTTTTTCCTCCTCTCTTTCGTCTTCCCTTGGTGCATTTTATTAGTTTTTTTCTTCATTTTTTCAAGTGTCTTTTACTTGACTTTAGTTTATTAATAATTTTTTTATCTTTTTCATAAAAAAAAATTAATTTTACTTTAATTTCAAAATTTTAAAAGATTTTATCTGTACAAAAATTAAAAATGACTTTATCTAAATAGTTAAATAAGATTTAAGTTATGGTGCTATCTACATTATTTAATTATTATCTTGAGATTCGTTATTTTATTGCAAACTCAAAAAGCATGTATGAAATTCCTATAAATTTATTATGTAAATTTTGTCTAATTAAAAATTGAAACTATGAAATTTTTTCTAATTTTTGCATTTCAAAAACTTGAAAATTGTATAATCGACTAATGGTACGAATTATTAAGTAAATATTGTGTTTTATAATTTTTAATGTTTGATATATAATATTTTAATTATTAAATGATTTTTAAAATGATTAAAATTTTAAAATACTATCAAAAATAAGAAAACGTTTTTTATGCCCAAGTCTCGTCTAGGCTCGCTTAACCTCGTAAAGTTTGAAACTTCTCCTTCACGCCCAGTCATACTTTACGTTTTTTATAACACTACAAAAAATAGAGTTTTTTTTTTTTTTTTGAGTTTATAGGATGACTGTTGGTAGTGATAGTGTGATGATGATATAAAATTACACTATAATAACAATTACACAGTAAGTTGCAATTTCAAAAACCTACACAAGGTAACACGATTTAATATAAATTATCCTATATTGTAAGTTACCATCGGTAACTTATTAAGCTCCCTATTTGCTAGAGATTAAAATAAGATTTTTAGTAGAATTTAATAAAAGTTGATGAAATTTATGATTCAAAAATTTTAGATCTTATAAAATATGTGATCAAAATGAATCTTTAACTTAAAATTGAATTAAAATTTTAGTTTTAATCTCCATCAAATCGGGGCTAAATATAGAATTTTTGTATACAAGAAATATACATGTCAAAAATTATGAAAAAAAAGTAAGCTATAATAATAC